CCCCCCCACCCCCAACACCACTACTATCCACCTTCACAAGGATATTAAAGAACCCCCTCCCATCTAACAGTTTATATATTGTAAGGCAGGTCCGTGAGATGGTCAGCTTTGTAAATGATCATTACGGGTTTTGTGCTTCTGTTCCATTGTCCTTCATGGGAGATGGTTTAACTTTTTTGGTTTGATGCCAGGAGGATCTGTAAGTGTCTACAGTAGGTATAGGAACTGCCTTAAGGCCTTCAGCAAGAATTTCCAGCGTGTGAGGTCAACACAGGTTGTTCTATGGGGCTGTTGGCAGTCCACATCCCAACTTTCCCAGTAACTACTCCTTCTATACAGAGCTTGCTGTGTGGGAAAAGATTAAGGAGAGGAAACGAGTAGAAGGCCCCACAGTAGCTGTATGCGCTGCCGGGTTGGAAGTTCCACCAATAGTCTTTTAGGTTATATACGCTTGATTTATTACCTCTGTCTATGGAATCCTCCGACAGAGCCTTCCATGTGTCTTGCTTGCAACAAAATACATGGAAGGCTGTCCATTGGTGTTGCTGCACCCCATTAAGGCTCCTACAATGTGGAATGTGCACTCTAATGTTCGTTATTACACATAATGTTTGTTGGATTTCGTATATGACGCCGACTCTTGACATGGAAAGCAACATAATGGACAATGGTATTTGCAAAGCTGATCGTGTCACCACCTTATGTTCATGTTCTATTGAAGGGAAGAATCCTGATCGGGAGTCTGCTCAATAACCTGGCCAGGGTCCTCCAGCTGCCTATTGTGTGATCTGGTTCTGCGTTTATTGAATAAGCTGATCGATTTTATAGACAAGATTATCTGGGTGGGTTTTAAGGTTTTAGTTTAAAAAAAAAAATCTAAATGTAACTTTTTGTTTGCCAATAAAATGCCTTGTCTTCCTTTTTTATGTCCCTTGTTTCTTTTTTTTCATGTGTGCACAACTATACATGCTTTAGACCAGTGGTTCTCAACCTGTGTAGCCTCAGGACCCACATTTGTCCTTTAAATTGCGACCCAAGCCGCACTGCAATGGAACGTATGGCATTGGGGTACCATGCGTGCGGGTGCACAAACTGTGTTTGGGGTACCATTCAAATGACTGGCAATGCAGCACACCTCCCACACTAGGTAGCTAGGTACGATTTGTGTGGTACAGTTTAATGCACTGTACTAGTGCAAAAGGGCCCTCAAAGACGCTGACATACATACACAATCTCTCACACATGCACTCCAAAAATGTTTTTAGGTCCACGCAGTCATAGGCGTCACTACAGGGGGGCAATTGCATATCACCCGACCATTCACACTAGTGTTACATGGATGCCAAAAGTACAAAACGTACAAACAGCGCTCTTGTAATGATAAGAAGGGGGTGGACAGTGTATGACCCTAGATCGTGTGCAGCCCTGAAACCCAGGAGGAGTGCCTGTGTATCTGCAAACTTGAAACAAAAAAACCCAAAAGGGCGCAACACTGGGTGGGCTAACTGACCGGGTCGGGAGACCCAGGGAAAATGACAGGAGAATAGTGTGACAATGGGTGCACTGGGTGAAAAAACAAAGGATAGCTGAGGAAAAAGCACTTATGTTTCGTTTCACGGGACCAGAGAATGGACGGCCGGTGCAAAGGATCGGGTCATCCGTGGTATCTACCTGGACCTGGTGAGCCAGGGGATGTGCATCCACACGGGGAGAGGTGGCTGTGGGCGAGGAAGAAAAGGGGGGGGAAAAGAGCAACCACAGGAATGGGGACTCAGTCCGTGGCCCGCTGTGTGAGTCCAGGGGCTGGGGAGTGTGGGAAAGAATCAGCGGTGTCAGAAGCAGGCAGAGCTGCTGTGACCGCGGCTGCGGCTCGTGCTGCTCGGTCACTGTCGGCGCAGGTGGGGGAAGTTATCATGGGCCTCTGGGTTGTACTTGTTGCCAGTCAGTCCATGCTGTATTCCACAACTGCCGGACGTCGAGAGCAGATTAAATAGCGAATGGCATCAGCGCCTGGCAGTTGTGGTATGCGGGATTGTGGGCGGCGTTGGACTAAATGTCGCAAACGCGGGGTGCCGATGCCATCCGCAATTAAATCAGCTCATCGGTGCCTAGCGGTTGCGACATGCAATGAAAATTATTAGTGCCCCCCCAGATTTGACTGTTGTATCTTATGTGCCCCCCCTACATATTGTTCCTAGAGTCGCCACTGCACGCAGTCCCCCTACCTCGATGGCACTAGAGTGGTTCCTCAGCCTGGGCTGCTGTGACAGAGCACCAGACAGATGTGCATTGTTTGTACAGCATGTCCTGTAGGGATCCCAGGAGCCAGAATGTGATGTCACTTTGGTCCAGGCACCTCTACAGGACACGTGAGGGAGGTGTAAGCACTGCACATGTGGATGGTGCTCCCTAGTGGCTATAGCTCCAGCCCACCCCACCTCAAGCTGACGTTTGGCACCGGGCAGCATATTTTGCTTGGCATGAGAACTGGCAGTGCTGCGCTAGGGGAAGGCTAGAGAGGTGGAAGGCGCCCCCCCCCCCCACACACACACACACAGGGTTGCGACCCACTTTTGGGTCATGACCCACCACCATTGAGAACCAAGGCCTTAGACCCTGTTGGCCTCCAAATCCTAATGCAAGACTCAATAAAAGACGCAATAAAATGTGTTAGGTTTGCCTCTCTGGCCTGTGTCTTCTAACCACCTTCAGTTCTAGCGCCGCAGCAGCCATCTGAATGCTTCTGTCCACTGCTGGACAGCTTGGCCTGGGAAAGGATATCGGTGGAGTGTGAGGGATGTTCTGACCATTATATGCCACTAGGGGGTATGCACAATGTGGCCTATTTTTTAAAAACAGCCGTGTGAAGGTTAAGGGCCCATTCATAAAATAGAGGCTGTGGTGTGAAGTCAGAGCTGTCCCATGGAGTGCATTCTGGTTTAAAGTATAAATTAAAACCAAGCTGTGGCTTACTGGTCGAGACTTGGCGACTGCATTGGTTGCCCCCCCCCCCCCCCCTGCCATAGTTCCACTTCAAACAGAATGCAGGAAGGAGTTTAACTAGAATTGCTCCTGAGTGCTGGTACTACTATAAGGGTAAATGGCTTTGTAAGAACAGGTCTGAGTAGGATAAGAATTAACACCATGCTGTAGAATTCACATGCAAACATGAACAATTACTATAAGGGGTCTATTCACCAAGCTGCCGAGGGCAGCCGAGTGAATGACCGATCAGAAGTGAGCCGAACACTGTTCGGCTATTCACTTCAGGATGGTACGGCTGATTTCAGCTGTACATCGGCTCGCTTCGGGTCGGCCGAACATGCTCAGCATGTTCGGCCAACCCGAAGTGCTGAAGGATTTCGACTCAGCCGATCCAACATCTGGATCGGCTGAGCCGAACCTCCGGGAGGCTACTCACTGCTGCTCGGGCTATTCTTATAGATGCCGAACAGCAGTGAGTGAATAGCCGAATGCCGCTGAGTGGCATTTGGCTCTGCTGGGTCCCTCAGAGGTACCGAGCAGAACAGAGGTAAAAAAGTAAATAGAAAACGATTGTGCGGAGCTAGCAGTGACAGCTAGCTCCGCACAATAGTTTCCTATTTTCCGGCAGCTCTGCTACTGTCAAAAAAAAGAAAAAAACTCTCCCGGGCGCTCTGGGAGTCTCCCGCTCCTGGCCGCCAAGGAGAGAAACACTGATGTGTCTTTTTTTTTTCTTCTTTATTCTGATGTCAGAATAGAGAAAAAAAAAATGTTCCCATTGAAAAGCATTGGGACATTCCTATTGGCTATTTCAATTTCCAATAGCCAATGGTAAACTAGCATTGTACCTGCCCTCTGCTGCAGTTCCCCATCAGGTCCATCAGCAGAGGGCGGGTACAATGCTAGTTTACTATTGGCTATTGCAAATTGAAATAGCCAATAGTAATGTCCCAATGCTTTTCAATGGGAAAAATCTTTTTTTTTTCTATTCTGACATCGATCGTGTCAGAATAAAGAAAAAAAAAGACAGCACTGTTTCTCTCCTTGGCGGCCGGGAGCGGGAGACTCCCGGGGCGCCAGGGAGAGTTTGCTGTTTGGAGATCAGTGTCCCTGGTTAGCAGGTAACCAGGGACGCTGATCTCACTGCAAGTGGCCGGAGCCAGCCGTAAGATCACGGCTGGCTCCGCCCAGCTGTCAGAAGCAGGCTGTCGGCCGGCCAATGGCCGGCCGCTCGGCCAGCTTCGGCTTTCAGCACGGCTCAGCGCTCGACTGAGCTGCTCGGCCGTGATCGGGAGCTGTACGGGCTATTGTGAATAGCCCGTACAGCACCCCCTCGGTTCTCCTGAACCGAAGGGGTCCTGGGGCCGAAGCTAGCCGAAGGATCGGCCGAAGCTACGGCCAGATCCTTCGGCAGCTTTGTGAATAGACCCCCTAGAGTCCTTCCGGAGCAGGTGGGGGGAGGAGGAGAGGTACACATGCTTAGGCCTCATTCACACGAAGCTGGCCCATACAGATCCGAGCGGTGTGCTTGGCCATATCGGGGAAGGACAGGTGCTGCTTGTGATTGTACGCAGCAGCCTGTTCTTCTCTACGGCTGGGCGCGGCCATATGCTCACCTAAGATGCACCTGTCCTTTGCGGGAGCGGCCCAATATGACCTGCACGCCGTATGGATCTGTACTTACACCTGGAAGTGTTCCATTTCAAATGTCACCTTCTCCACAACAGACATGTGAGACCCATTGTGAACAGACAGTACAGTGAATTTGCTGACTCGTCAAGATCCCCAGGCAATGCAAAGACAGAGTCTAAGCCAAAGTAGTTTATTCCTGTATGGCAGATTACAAAGCGTTCTATTGATCTTGAGTCCCTCTATAAATTGATATTACACCTGTGATGTCCAATGCGTAGCAAAACGTCCTCAGCAGTACAAATCTCCCTTCAGCTGTTGGAGGTACTCCCAAGTATGGAGGAGAGTTGTGACTACTGTCCAAGCGTGTGTGTGTGTGGGTGTGTGTGTGTGTGTGTGTGTGTGTGTGTGTGTACACGTGTGTACGCGCGCGCTTCAACACATGCCTCTAGAAAGTAAACCTGACCCACATGGGCAAAGTAGAGGAGCACTTTAAGTTGTCCCAGCACCAGTTTGGGTCTGGATTTGTGGCAGGCAATACCGATATATGCCAAGATCTTGGCTGCATTGGGGGGTCCACGGAAGGGCTCCAGCACCATAATCCTCTGGGCCCCCCAGGAGATTACTACCATGGAGCATAGAACTGAGTCACAGATCTGCTTCATCAGCTTCTCTCCAGCTTCTGAAGCTGGGAGAGTGACACAGGAATGCGGAAGTGATGTACCGACCTCCCTCTGATCCCCCTGTGACGGGGGCACTATGCTGGTCCCGGGCTCGCACCAGGCACAGCGGAGCCCGGGACCAGCGTGACAACGGGAGGGGACGACACACTGGCTGGCAGCTCATACAAGCGATGTATGTTAACAGGCATCGGTGGCTGTTTTTAAATTGTCGGTGTTTGCCTGCGCGCGCGAGTGGGCGTGGCTGAGCGGACATCTAAAGACGCCCACTCAGATCTAGAGAGCTCCCGGCCGGCAGTTTTTTTTTTTACAACGGCCAGCCGGGAGGTAGTTAATGTAATTCCCCTTTTGCAG